GGCGACGCGACGCGAAGCGACCCTATGCGGCGCGGCGGTCTCCGTTTGCAGAAAAACACATAGTAATGGTCTCTAAAAGCTACTGTTAACGAAGGACGAACTCGACATTTACGCCAGTGTTTTAAGATAAAGTGCAACAGAATGCAAAAGGATAGTTTTATGCGATGTACACTTTCACAAGTATCTGTATGTCTGTCCTCCTACTGGATAAATTGTAACACCTCTGCAAAAGCCTCTTGTAGTTAACATAGGATTAAATATTATATTGCTTTTTTTTAATGAGACATAAGTCCTACGTGTAATTTAAATATACGTTTGGGGTTGCCACTTCAAGTGTTCTATTCCATTCCTCAATACGGTTGGCTTAAATATGCGGCGTGACACGCCCGTAATCAGCTACTATAGTTGGGATGTTCAGAATTGGTATAATCCACAATAAAATTGTCGTATTTACTCTGTTCTTACTGACTAGTCTAAATCGGTTCCTAACACAATGCATACTTTTACTCACGACAGACGTAAGGAATGCAATAAACATAGAAAAGAGATGTCAGGTAGGACTTGCAGCGGACACTAATAAAAAATAGTACATTACGTATCGAGGGAAGAAACAGGGTTTTTTCGGCTCGGGTGGCAAACATGCAGTCTGAGATAACCCAATACTACTATTTTTTGTGATGTTTGTGCGGAAAGCTCGTCATTAAATTGATAGTTGGTGAAGTAAGAGTAAATGACTTAGAGGTTAGAAAGACATTGTCATTGAACAACTGATTTCTGCGCATGCCCATAAACCTCAGCGCATGCGCTCAAAAGACTAATTTCATTTCCTCCCGACTAAAACACGACTGAAAAGAGGCCATTTCTTCCCTATTTCGTAGCATGCAAAACGAGCTTTCCGCGCTAGCATGACAAAAAAGGAATAACATTACACCAATTAATATGTAATAGAAAGAGATACAGACTAACAGAATTTGAACATGTTGCCAACAACGGATTTTAAAGAAAGTTCAACAGGCAAAAACGCAGTAAACGACTGCAGTCCCAAGTGGAAACACGAAAGAAGGTACATCCTAACAGATAATTTATTGCGAATTGTACCAATTTTGATCGTCTGAATTATTTCTCTATTTTTTTGCGCTTCTAGAGTTTGGAAAAAGTGTATCGATCAAAAGTCGAAATGTTAGTTTTGTAAGGGTTTTGGACATGTGCAAACGACTAAACGTAGGACTGTGTAACTAACGGAACTAATTCAATCCTAACCTAACCTAACAGTTAAATTTTTTTTAGTCATTTTTGTCTTTTGTGTGAAAAATCATATATTGTCATAAGAATATAGGTTCTAGAAAAAATTGAAAAGAGATGAATGAAATTATAGTGTGTTCAAAATTGAAAAAACTCAAAAACTAGATACAAGCACGGTAGAGACTTAAAATGTAGGGATGTTACAAAGATAGAAGAGTGATACTTAGTTTGTAGAAAGAGCAACAGACAGTGGAAGTAAAAATTAGGAAGAGAGTCAGACAGGGATGCACACTGTCACCGCTACTTTTTAATCTATACATCGAAGACGCGATCAACATCATCAAAGACAGTACAACTGTAGGGATAGATATACTGGGGCAAAAGATTAGTATGCTTGGATTTGCAGAAGATATATCAGTATTAGCATCTAGCTAGGAGGACTTAGAGATAGCTTTAAATAAAATGGAAGCGGTACTAACAGGTCAGTACTGTATGAAAGTAAGTAAAACTAAAATACTAATATGCAAGGGAAGAATAAGTAGGGAAAGAGCGAATATAAAGATAGGAGATGAAAAATTAAAAGAAGTGGCTGATTTTAAATATCTAGGAAGTCAGATAAGTCAGGACGGAAGGAGTAGTAGGGATATAAAGCAGAGGATGGCACAGGGTCGTGTCGCCTTTAATAAAAAGAAGTCACTTCTATGCTCGCGAACGGTTAATTTAGAAATTCGAAAAAGGTTGTTAA